TGTTTGGGTTAGTGCTTAGGAATCCTCAGGTATGCACTCTTTAACTGCATCGTTGGCCGTAGCAAGTGTTTGGGTTAGTGCTTAGGAATCCTCAGACTCCCACAGGTTATGAGCCTCGTGGTATACAATCCTTTGCACGCGAATCCTATTCCCCATCCCGCACGACAAGCCTCACCCGCAATGGAGTCCACCACCATGTCATCAGATGACAACAACCTCTCTACGTCAATCAGCGTCCTCACTGGTGACAATAACTACGAGGCTTGGGCGAGAGCTGTCACGGGCCTCCTCATCATCAAGGACCTTCGCGACACTCTGATCGACAAGCCTGCCCTCCCCGAGAAGGAGAACGCTGTCAGTTCCATGACACCCGAGCTCCAGAAACAATACAAGCGGCAGGGAATGGCGTGCGCCTGGATTCAGAAGTATCTGTCTTTGGGGGTCATGCAGAGACTCTCCGCACAGGCTCTGGACCTGGACCGACCAGACCCTCGTCAGCTCTGGAAGGAGCTCAAGGACACCTACGCGGTCAACACCACTGCGAAGATCCCTTACCTGTATCAAACCCTCTACAGCACCCGAATCCCCGAGGGTGTGTCTCCAAACACATACATTGCCAACATGCACGACGCGTATACGCACATCTGTGCCTCCAACATTGACCGCGAGGTCGATGCAGCCTACGCAATGCTTCTCTCCCTGCCCCCGTCCTTCGACATCCTGAAACAGACCTTCACCCAGAAGGGCACCTTCACGGTGAGCGAGGTCATGATGGCCGTCAAAAACGAGTGGTATCGCCGAGAACAAGACCCAAATTATGAGTCGGCTCTGGTTGCTGTTGCTGGGAGGGATGACGGGCGAGGGAGTGAAGGGCGAGGGAGGAAGAAAAGGTCGGGGAAGAAGAAGGATCTGTCTGGGCCCCCTTGCTCTTTCCATTCAGAGCCGGGCACACCCGCCAACCATTCGGAGGCCGGGTGCTGGGTTCTCGAAAGGGTCCAGAAGTTGAAGGCAGCCAACAAGCTCCCAGATGCTTTCTGTCAGATGGCGCTGCACACCTCCGACGACGACAATGGAATGGACAGCGATGCCTCAGGGTTTGTCGCCAGCTGCACCCTTGGTCTGGCCACTCCTACCCCCATCATCTCCCACACTTACATCGTCGACTCCGGTGCAACCGAGACCATGGTCAACCACCCTTCCCTCCTCACCAATCTGCGCCCTCTGTCTCCTCCTCGTCATGTCAAGATGGGGAACGACGCTAGACTCCCAGTCCGAGAAGTGGGTACCCTACTCCTCAACGGTGTTACCTTCCGCGACGTCTGGGTGGTACCTGGTCTGAACCGCAACCTTCTCTCCTGTCGACGTCAACCTCCCGGCAGCGAGTGGGTCATCTCACGTCGAGGAGCAATCCTTTTCGATGCCCAACGTCAACCTCTTATGGCCACCAACCTCTCCAACGGCGGGCCATATGTCATCGAGGCGAGTGATGCTTCCGCTTTGTCTGTGGAACCCGCCCCTAACCGTCTTTCAGAATGGCATCATCGCCTAGGGCACATCAACGTGCAGTCCATCGCCAAATTGGCTAGGACAGGTGTTCTGGATGGTTTGGAAAAGGTGTCTTCTGGGGAGATCCGTGGTTTTGCCTGTGACCTATGCACTCGTGGTAAAGGCGTCCGTCTACCCTCACCTCCACGAGCAGAGAGAGAAAGTGAGGCACTCAACTTGGTGCACATTGATCTCTGGGGACCGGCATCTACCACTTCCATACATGGCAACCGGTACTTCCTGACCTGCTATGACGACTTCACTCGAAAAATCGATCTCACTTTCCTTCGTGAGAAATCACAAGCATTCAAGGCTATGAAGGACTACATCGCCAAGGTGGAACGTCAAGTGGGGCGTCCAGTGAAGAAGATCCGGTCGGACAATGGAGGGGAGTTTGTATCCAGAGAATGGGAGGAGTACATGCTCAGCAGAGGGATCGAGCACATCCGGGTGCCACCGGGAGCGCATGCTCAAAACGGCCGCGTGGAGCGCGTCCATCTTACCATCCTCAATCTTGTTCGAACGCTACTTCTCGCGTCGGACATGCCATCCGGTTTCTGGGCAGAAGCGGCTGCATACGCTGTTTATGTTCGAAATCGGGTTCCGAACAGCTCAGGCGCCATTGCCGATGAGCTCTGGTACCGCACAAGTCTCCGGTATCATCACCTTCTCCCATTTGGTACCCATGTCCTCTACCGTGACCACAACAACCCATCCAAGCTGAAACCACGCTATCTCCCAGGCCGACTTGTGGGTTACACACACGGCACAGAACAATATAGGGTATGGGACCCCGCTCTTCACAAGGTTGTGTTCACCAAGGACCTTCTGCCAGGGGAAACCAAGCTCGTTCCAAATTCTGATGCTCCAATTCCAGATCTCGGACCTCTAGCACCTTCATCACCTCCATCACTCGTTTCATCCCCTGCAGAGTCACCTGCAGGGTCACCACCACCCTCACCTCCGCCCTCACCCCCACCTTCCCCCACACCATCCTTGCCCCCTTCTCCGCCGCCAACCACCACCGTCAAGGGGTGGACCTATACTCAAGATGCACCCCCTCCCAGTGTTGATGAACTCGCTGCCCCCATACCTGCAAAAACCACACGTACTGGACATGCCTTTGGCCTCGTTGCGTTGGTTGAGGATGCTCAAGTGGACAATGAGGAAGAAATATTGGCCCTGGCGGCAACGACTGAGACTGCCCCCCAGACCTATCGGGAGGCACTGCGATCGGAGGACCGGGCGTCCTGGATCAAAGCAATGGAGGCGGAATTGGACAAGTTGGAGGAGTACAAGGTATGGGAGGTGGTGCCGCGGGAGAAGTCGATGCGAGTAATGGGGGCCAGATGGGTGTATGGTCGGAAATTGGATGGAGAGACCGGCAAGGTGGCTGGCTACAAGGCAAGATGGGTTGCTAAGGGGTACAACCAACGTGAAGGGGTGGATTATGGCGAGCTGTTTGCGGCGGTCGCGCACAAGGACTCCATCCGAGTTTTCTTGAGTCTGACCAATTACCTCGATCTCGAGTGTGATCAGGTTGACATCAAATCCGCTTTCCTCAATGGGGACCTCGATGAAATCATCTACCTCGAACCACCTGAACACAGTTCCATCCCCAATGGCAACGTACTTCGCCTGCGGAAATCTCTCTACGGCCTCAAACAGGCTCCCCGCTGCTTCAATCAAGCCTTTG